GCCGTTGTCTAAGAGAGCTTTAGTGGTAATGTAATTGTTTGTTGTGGGATTAAAAATATCAACCAAAGCCGTACATAATAGTATCTCTGAAGCAGAAACAGCTGACATCGAAACTGGCTTAGAGACTGTAACATTAGTGACTGCCACATTAGTATCAGAATCCGTAGGTTTGTGTAAAAATGTATTGTGACGTTTTTTGCATATTCTGCACCTTCCTGGAAGCTTGCAATCGCGTGTATTATGGCCTTTACGTAAACAGTTGGGACACAACTTTAGCTCGGATACTAATGAAAGTCTATCATCAATAGATTTCGATTGAAATTGTGAGCACTCATAATTACGATGACCTTGGCTACAGAAAATACACTTGTGAGACGCGGTTGATAATGAGTCGCCCTGCTCAGCGCTAACGAAAGACTTAGTATGAGAAACGGGATTTTGTTTGACGCCTTGATTATTATTCGGGTTTGACTTTATACTTTTTTCTTGTTTATTTCGGTAAACAGACTCCAAAACTTCAGCACGGCCTTTAATAAACGTTATAAAATTATCTAGGCTAGGCATATCGGAACCATTAACATTAGCTTTACCATTAGAATGTATTCCTCCCATTTGACACGCGTATTGCTGTCTAATTTCGCTGAGAGCATGAATACAATCAGGGTGTCCCAATGATCAGTTGGTTGTTTTAAAGTATTTAAAGCACGTAGGTTTTTTTGCGACGTGGTCTACTAGAAATCTTAATGACTTGTCAGACTCACGCAACGGCTCAATATTAAATAATGATTTCAAATGATTATTTAATAATTGACGAGTATTATTAAAACGCTCGCAAAGAAGACTCCATGCCTCAGGATAATTACTTTCGCAAACTTCTAAATTACATATGACACGAGCAGCTTCAGCTTCTAGATAGGAATTTAAATAATGAAATTTGTGTATGTTTTTTATTTTTGTATTATTATGTATCAGAGAACTGAACGTATCACGAAATTCCAACCATTTGTTGATCGTACCATCAAACTTATTAATTTTAATGACCGGGAAATGAAAGCCGATAACTTCGTGATCATCTTCATCAGCTGTGTTAATACTGCTGTGCCGAAGCGACGACTTTTTTTGTCGTACTGCATACGGAAATAATTTCCTGAGCCAATGCGATCGAATTGTGGAAAGCTTGTTCGATGACTTCTCTGGTATCTAATTCTAAGCTTAAATTATTTTCCTTCAAATACTTCAATTTGACTCTGCACGTTATCGAATTCGCCAAATAAAGTCTCAAGTTTAACTAATCGCTGTGATAGCACGCTAACTTCCGTAGGAGAAAGCTTTTTACCTTTTAATTCTTCTAAATGGTTATTAAATTTCGTAACACGGCCTCTAATTGAAGCGCGTTTTAAATTAAGAGATTTATACTTTGCCTCCATACTGGCCAAGTTAACGCGCAAACAATTAAAATCGCAATGTAATCAAAACAACTAGTTATGCGCTGTGCTAATCAAATAAATAAGAATTGCATACGATACGCTCCCCGCTTTGTAGCCGCTGTGACGGGAACCGGTTGTAAATCAGCATAAGTACGGTGAAAGGTGGGATGGATGACGCGCACCGCTCTCGGCCTAGTAACACGACGTGAGCCCGCAGTGCTTGCAGTGACACGGGATGCGATGATAGCCTCGAGCGACCGCTGCGCCGTAGCTGAAATTGATTGTTGGAATGCTTTGTAGATATCTACGTACATAAAATAATAACGGAAAGCAAGATTGATTGTAAGTTTACTTGATTTGTGAAAATAATAGTTTAATTAGCGTAATATAGGGCTTAGCGAATGATTATGCTATAGTGAATTGGCTATTAAGTGATAACTAATTTATTTGCGTGCATAAACAGCTAACAGTGGATAGCGAGAAGTTAATTTACTTGCATTAAGAAGTTAAGCTCAAATTTTTGCGTAGCTATGTACAAAATACAAACGTTTAAAGAAATAGGTTCAGCTATTTAAATTCTAACTATTCAACAGTGGGCACCAATTAATTACATGCTAGTAAAGACTTTCAAGTCGTAAATAGGCGCAATGAATGCAAATTATAGGCGGCTTGAAAAATAGCACTGGTTAACTAGCAAATGCTGCGGCGAAATAATAGTAAGAAATGATAGCCAATTAGCTGATAGGTAGGCAAATGAGTGTAAATAGGTGATTTTAACTTGTTGGGTATGTAGATTGTAGGTAGGTTTAACTAGGTAATTCTTTTAGGATTGGTTTAATAGGTATTTTATTTGGTAGGATTATTGAGTAGGAATAGTTTGTTTAGATTAGCAGTTTTATATGCGAAAGGGTATAGGACAGACAAGGAATATAAAAGATGTTGCTTAAGAATGGGTAGGTAAGGTAAGGCAACAAAAATAGGATTAGACTCCTTGTTTCCCTGTTCACACAAATAATTTTTTTTAGGAATAGTGGGACACGAAGAGGTTAAATAACAGGAACGGGCTCACTTTTAGCTGGCAAAACCGCTGCTGTGGCGCGTAGACTCCGCTGGAGCTCAGCTTGGCCGGTTCTCAATAGCTGCTCTCTTGTCTTCTCACCGCTTCAGATGAATTCTTCTTGACCGCTTCGTTGTTCTTAGTAATCGGGATGGTGCGCCGATTTAATAATCTTCGTAGGAGATGTAGTAGATCAGCGCGGCTTCTATTGTCGGTAGCTCGTGGTACTTGCGTTTGCGACGTTGTAAACGCGTTGTAAGTGCCACGCCCTTTGACCGTCCTACGCGGCGGAATCGGAGTTCGTTGTTTTAATTTATCACGGTCGCCACTACGTTCAATTAGGGAACATGAATAAAATAGGCGACTCACACGATAGGCAAATTGTTTATTTGAATAATCAAAATAAAAACTAATTTGGTGGTGATCGGGTCGCGAGCTATCGGCGAGTGACGGCCTTAGGCGCGGTGGTGAGAAAACCCCCGCGCTTCTCGTACTCCCCGCGAACACCGTTGGTGCTGACGTAACGGCGCCGACAACCAGCAAATAATACTATATCATATATTGATGACTTATCTTAGGGATATAGTAGGATTATCCCCTACTATATCCCTAAGATAAGTCATCAATATATACAAGAAACAGAAAGGGGCTATGAATTGAACCCTGAGGCATGCCCATTTGTACTGTCGACCAGGAGGAACTCGTAAACTTTTTTTTGTTCTGTAACTTTAATATGAAATAATTGACTTGCATCTCTTCTTGTACAGTAATGTTGAAGGTTCCTGATTAATGTTTCATGGAACGTAATCGAAGGCTTTGGATAGGTCACATAATATACCCAAAGCATCCTGTGAAATCTCCCATGCATTAAAGATATATTTAATCATCGATCAGTTATCGATCAACTTCTTGCGAAACTGAAAGTACAGAAATAGGTCTGAAATTGGCAGCGTCCGATGTACTACCAGATTTAAATAAAGGTATTACTTTACTATGCCTCATTAAATCAGGAAACACACAATTCGATATTAGTACTAAAAATAATCGATAGCTGAGATGCGATTATATAGATCTATTATAGTCGCAATAACTTTAACGGAAATCCCCCACAGATCTGCGGTTTTCTTAACATCAATAGTTTTAAAATATTTTACAACATCTTTTGATGATACTTTATTAAATGTAAAATTATTTGTGCACGTATTTACATTTTGTTTAAGTAATGATTCGGCAACGGCAGGAAAATAATTCACTGACTTAGTGGTTAAGATCAGATTATCAGTAAAATATTTCTCAACAACCATTGCAACGTCCTTATCTGATTTAGTTAATTTCTTGTTAAAGCGTAACTGGTAGTTTGAATTGCGAGAGTTGACCTTACCAGTTTCGCTATTGATTATACTCCATGTCATTTTAATTTTATTAGAAGCCGTCTTTAATCTGTTGCTCAAATACAAAGACTTGGCTATGGAGCACAAAAATATTAGTAAAAAAATATTATTTTACTAATTCCCTAAATTCGACGCTAGGATTATATGACCTTTAATTTAGAAGTAAAAGTATTATCAAATTCATTGTAAATAAGCTTAAATAATGTTCCATACAAAAAAACCTAGGTTATTTTGGCATGAAAGTGATAGAAGTTTTTTACTGTTACGAGCTTGAGGTTCGTGACAATAAAAATTGCCGACAGAATTACCTAAATTAACACTTTAATTCACTTTACACTAATTAAAGTTAAAAACACTAATAATTAATCACACTGATTCACTTTATTCCGCTCCGAAGCTTCGCTTGTCTCGCCAACTTCAATACTTCTCCGATCGCATCTTGCAACGCCTATAAATATAAATTAGCATCGAAATATCCAGAATATTCAAGTAAACACGCGCAAGCTACCGAGAGTTCGAGTTTCAACTTCTAGAAGTTTAGTTCTTCAGTTCGAGACTAGATGGCGCTAGTGCCGGCGACTAAGGCACGTAACATTACTATGTTACTTCTAAACTTCTTCAAGCGACGTGTATTTACTGGAATAAACATAACTTTTTCATCTACTTGCTTTTTGTGAACATAAGATAACGAAACTAATTTTCCACAGGGATCAAGTCTCAATTTTTGAATTATACATTTATAGATTCCATATTTAAGAAGCGAATGGAACAGTAATGGCAGATTTTAACATAGAAAATCCGATTCCTATATTCAAGAAACATTTCGGTCTTCATAACGATCCGTTTTATTACCTATAGAGTACATGTAAAAACTGTTTATGTAACAAACTATTCATTCAGCAACTTAGGATGATTAAAATTAAAAACTGTGAACGGTTCAAAAATAAGTACTGGTATTTTGTTTTAAAAAAGTAGTTTTCATGCATTTAATTTCAATTCGTAAAAGAAAACGAAGCGTTTTTAAATACAGAAAACGGCTTAAGATAGAATACTTCCTCTTTGTCCTTCAAACCGAAACACGACAGAGAAAAAAGATTTCATTTAGTAAATAATTGACAAACTTACCTCTTCATTGGGATCCGGGAAGCAAGTTTTAGCGTATACAGTCAACACATTGAGGAGGGCGAGCTGGCCCCACTCATCCACATCGGCTAGTAAGGAGCACAGCTTCCTGAAGATATCAAAAGGAAATAATTAACCTTCTTTATTAATTTATCAAACAATTTTATTCCCTATACGGGTTACGACAATATTTATTGCAAGTCATTCACGCCTGGTTCATTGGCCACCACTGGTTCGGAAAAAAGCCTCTGTGTTGTGAAAAACCAGCAAGAAATTTTAAAAAAAGCGGGACTGTTTTATAACATTAATTTACAATATACATAACCGTTCTCGTTTCATCCTATTACAGTCCACTGCTGAACACAGGCCTCCCCCATGGATTTCCTCATAGGGGGATATTTTCCATAGTTGTCAGCGGGTGAAAACTGTAGTTTATTTTTATTTTTAGTCGTTATTAGGGAGATGCTGCTGCTCATCTCCCGATTTGTATCCCTTTGTCGCTTGGCTCCGTGGCGCAGTGGCTTAGCAATGAGGGGGTGAACTGGGGGTCGATGGTTGACGCTCGCTGTAATATAACAGAACGCGAGTAACCCGGGTTCGATCCCCGCCGGCACCAATGAAATTGTTAATTGCAATTTTAAGTGCTGATTTACCACGTGCTCGGCGGTGAAGGAAAACATCGTGAGGAAACCTGCATGTCTGAGGAATAAGATAAAAAATATTTCTAAGACATGTGAAGTTCGCCAACACGCATTGGGGCAGCGCGGCGGACACTTCCCCGCCCTAAAACCCTCTCATAAATGAGGGGAGGCCTGTGCTCAGCAGTGAGACGTATATAGGCTGTAACTTTATTTTTTTTTACTGGGGGTCGCGGGTTCGATTCCCGCATGGATAAAGTATTTGTATGGCCTACAAATAATTGTTACGGGTCGGGATGTTTGTCTCTGTGCAATTTATGTTTGTAAACTGCCTCCACGATACAGGAGAAAATCCTAGTAACGTAGTAACGTTTTAAAAAAATAATACAAAAGAATACAAGAATACGGGATCATAATATGCGATAGTAGATATTCTTACTACAAAGGATTTGTTACTACACGGGATATACATAATATTTCATACAATTCAGTATAGGATATGGTTACAAACGAGCACTTAGTCCATCTGATGGTAAGTGGTTGCTGCGGCCCATAGACATCTACATCTATCCTGGATTACGAATCAAAATGTAGATGCGTTGTAACCCGCGAGGATCAAGATGGAATGAAATGTATGAAAACATTTATAAACTGCATAGAAGCGATCACCTCATGGTGCGTTAAAGTTAAAAAAGTTAAAGTTACAGCTTATATATGTAGCACTGTTGGGCGCACACACCTCATTTAATTTCTGAAAAGGTTTAAGGGCAAGGAATTGCCCAATGCGTACTTCACGTCTTCGACATATTTTTTTTTCTTATTTCTCAGACATCCAGGTTTACTCACGATGTTTTCCTTCACAGCCGAGCACGTGGTAAATCATCACTTACAATTGCAATTAACAATTTCATAGTGCCGACAGTAATCAATGTAAATGTAAAGTGGTAAATAAAAAAATGACTTTCAATAAGTATTATGTAATAATCTATATTGAATAAATAATCATTCACTCATTCGTTCAATCGAACCGGGGTTGCTCGCGTACTGTGAAATTAACTGCGAGCATTTAGCCCCTGAGCTTACCACGGCTCATGGTGCGTGGTTATTATTAATCATGTACTATCATATATTAACATGTATAATAAATTAAATATAATATTTAGTAGTATAATAACCCCTATTACACAATATTTGCTTCATTAAGGAACTAAGCTTTTCGACACATAGGCCCTGCATATTTTGTTTTACTATCACCATGAAGGAATTACTGACTTTTTCGAGTCTAGTAACTGTTATTATCTTATGCTTGTTCCTAGTATTTACATAATGTACGTCATTAGTTTAAGCAAAACTATTATAATTTTTGTGTATCTGCATACATTAATTTTTTGTAAATATACTGAGACGCCAACGTTAATAAATATATTTATATGTTCAAATTTTTCTCTAAGATAGAATGCCTCGACGTTACCAGAAGAAACGGTTGCGATATTTGTTGCTGACCATACGAAACACTAGAACACTGGCTTATTTTTTTATAAAATAAGGGTGACAAAGGAGCATGCAGTCCACCTGATGGTAAGGGGCTACTGTTTCCTCGATTAAGAATCAAAATGCAGATACACCGCCACCCCTGAGGGCTAAGATGGAATGCCTTGTGTCTAGTAAAAAGGGTATTTGTTCCTATATACTGAACATACTTATAGAATATAATTGAATAATGTTTTTTAAATATAGATTATAAATAATCCTTATTTAGTCATTTTTTTTCTTTTACCACTGGTTTGGCAAAAAGCCTCTGTCCTGGGAAGAATTAACAAGAAACCCAGGAAGAGTTTGGTACCCGAAGGAAGGCGAACTAGTTTCTCGCCAATTCTGCCAATGTACTTCAACTTTGCTTTAGTAATTACTCTTTTGAAGGTCTTGAAGGCGGAGTTTTAATTCTTTTTAAGGATGCTGGTGTTTAGGTAACCCTGTCCTAAGATAATGGCTAGTCATCAAAGAGGCTGGCCACCGTGGCCAAAAATCGGTCTCGAGGATTTTATAATTATATTCTTTTAATTAAATTAGCATTAAAAATTGATACACTACCTGTAACTCTTATGTATGAGACTGACCCTGTCCCCACACACTTCGGAGAACGCCATTGCAGCCGAGCCCACTACCAGCGGCGCTTTGTCCGACAGCAGCTTGTCTATGATCAACACGAGCTCCTCTTTTTGCTCTGGATCAAGGCTGCAAATTTTTAAAGAGAAAACTTTAGAATCATTGTGATTTGAATCTCGATGACACTAAAAAGAGACAAACATATAGATCTAAAGGATTTAGCCTGCGAGAGAATAAGACGGAATACAGTATACAGTGTTTCTATTATCTCGGGTTTCTCCATGTGCGGGGCTTTAAAGATGGTAAGTATAACTTTTAATTGTTAAATAAAAATAATGCTTGGGTTAAATGGAAAAAGTACGGAAATTTATCAGATTATAAAACATTTGCATTGTACAGAAAACGTTTTAAAACTGAATCTAAATTACGTTATGCTCATTACAATGGATACTGTCGAGAATTGTGTAAAGCAAAATATTAAATATTTCTGGAAATATGTAACAAATTGCAAAAGCAGCCTAGAAACTCCGTCAGAAATTTTTTATAAAAACAAATTTGCTAGTAACCCCAAGGAAGTATGTAATTTATTCTCTGATTTTTTTCAGTCACTGACGATTTGAATTATGATACATTAATATACCAAATAATAACAATTCTGATTTCGTTATTACTAACATTTCTATTTTTGAAAAAGATGTAACAGAGTCCCTTTTAAATTTAGACGCGAATAAAGGAGCTGGTATTCAACATTCCACCTTATTTTCTGAAAGCTACAGCACATACTATTGCAAAACCAATTCATTACCTTTTTAATAAATGCTTAAAAGAAGGGATATGTCCATCTATTTGAAAAACAGCTCGTGTTTTTCCAATTTACAAGGCAGGCTCAAAAAAAGATGTTGAGAGTTACAGACCGGTATCGATTTTATCAACATTCGCTAAAACTTTTGAAAGGTTAATACAAAATTCGTTATATCCTAGTCTTCACAATATAATAATTCCACAGCAGCACGGTTTTATTAAGAAGCGTTCAACTATATCTAACTTATTAATTTATACAAACTACTTATTTGAGAATCTGGATAGTAACGTCCAGACTGACTGCATATACACAGATTTCCGCAAAGCTTTCGATCGCGTAGACCATAAATTACTTCTGGAAAAGCTAGCCTTTAATGGTATCCGTGGTAATTTGTGGAGATGGTTTAAGTCGTATGTGACAAATCGTACACAAAAAGTAGTTATAAGAGGTCTTGAGTCAGATATTGTGCATATAAGTTCTGGTGTGCCACAAGGATCAATATTAGGGCCTCTTCTTTTTGTTCTGTACATTAATTATGTTAATAGTTGTTTCAAGTTTTGTAATTTTATTCTGTACGCAGATGATATAAAAATTTATCACAAAATTCAATATTATCATGACCACCTTAACTTTCAAAAAGACTTAGATAATTTTACATCTTACTGTAAACACAATAAGTTAGATTTGCCCGTAAGCGACAGGAAAGTAATTTTAATTATTCTTTATGTGGAGTCCCATTAGAAAAAGTTCATAAAATTAAAGATTTAGGAATAATATTAGATAGTAAACTTATCTTTGATACACATGTTGAAAACGTCATTAATAAGGCTCTTAAAATGTATGGTTTCGTGATGCGTATTGGACGTGAATTTAAAAAACCTCTCACTTATTTGCACCTCTATAAATCTTTAATAAGATCACAACTCGAATATGCGGTAGCTATTTGGTGTCCGTATTATAATAAATATATAGATAAAATAGAATCTATTCAGAAAAAGTTCTTGCGTACTGTATATTACAAGTGCAGACGAGTTGAATTACCCTACTATCAACTGCTGGTCGAATATAACTTACTAAAATTAGAATCCAGACGTCAACAGATTCAAGGTATGTTACTATATGATATCTGTCATAACAGGTACGATAGTATAAAACTAGTTGAGATGATACAATACAGATTACCATATAGGCCATTGTGTCGCAGAATTCGTACTAAATATACATTTTTTACTAATAAATATCGAACCAACGTAGGTAAAAGATCCCCTATATATATGTTGTTAAATTGTTATAATAATACTGTCAATAATATTGACATTTTGCTCACAAGGTGGGTATTTATAAAAAAGAATTACTTTCAGTACTCAGAGGAGAATGAGTTTGTGTAACTGGTTATTACAATTATTAGTATTTTTCTTCATTATTGTGTTAGTTGAAAACACAATCATTGTATTAGATGAAAAAATTGTACGCTATTCTCAATCTCAACATTTGTTAATAGTAATTGGTGGTCGACGGTGTTGGTTGCACTATTTTTTTGCTGCAGTGAATGTATTTTAGATTAATAAATATTGTGTAAACTGTTTGTTGATCCTAATAAATGTAAAAAAAATAACCAATTAAAAAAATAGCAAAGTTATTAAATAAAAAAGTAACCATATTGACTAAAATTATCCTATCCAATCCATTCATAAAAAAACCACGATTTTATAACTTACCTACTAAATCGTATTCAAAGTCTATTTTACGTACCACTTTGAGAGTCAAGAAGTTTTTGTTCGATAAAGTTACTTTACCTATAGAGTGAAGTAGATAAGATCTGATTCTATAGGCGCTATTACAAAATTTTACTCGCAATTTTCTGAAAGTTTCTTTGTACCGAATGTTTTTTTTTAGAATATGGTGCAAACGAGCACACAATCCATCTGATGGTGCTGTGGCGAATAGACATTATCCTCGATTAAGAATCAAAACGCAGATGCGTTGTCACCTCTGAGAACTAAAATGGAATGCCTCGTTTCCAGTAAAAAAGGGTCTCCGGATCTCTACACTCACCATACGAAACACAGCAGTATTAAGCTGCTATTTTACGCTGGTATTCTGTGAGAGCATGGTCCTTCCCCGGTCGAGCCGACCCATTCGTGCTACAACCATAATATAGCCGCAGTGCGACTCTAACACGTATATATTCGAGTGTGAACTGCGCACATGTTTTTTACGTTTCTTTACATTTTTTTCCGAGGGTGGCGTAAGTACCGAAGCCGGAGAGTGAAGCAGCGTCAAGTGCTCACGTCTGGTATTATGGTAGTCAATTTAAGAGGCTTACATATAGCAATGGATTTTAAGGACTTATGTATTTGTGTTTAGATGGATCGGAAGCGATAGGATTTATCTGTCGGAGGCCATTTTCCTGATAATTTCTATAGTCGCTTCTTACGACAGCTACAGGATAAAACGGTATTAAATAGATTTTCTTACGCTACCACCATAAACCCAATGATATCCATTCATGACCTTTTTGTGTTTATACAAGCTAAAAGTAAGAACAATGTAATATTTCACTTAAGGCAAATTACAACTCAGCTATATACTGGATGACCTTTCTTATCGTCTGGAAAAAATAGGGTGTAACATGTGAACAGTGTAAAAGCCTATGGCACTGATATTTTACAAAAAATAAAAACAAAAATTTTGAATTTTACAAATAAATAAATTAAAATCTATCGAAATTCAAATCATATCCACCCTACTTTACGAACGGCAATAAAACAATAAATTTAGTAGGCATCTTCGACCTTGTCACTTCGCAGGGTCACAGCACCTTAGCCTGTGACCATCCATCATCATTACAGTCTACACAAGTCCACTGCTGAACTTAAGCCTTCCCCGAGGAACATCACAAAGCGTGATTCTGTGCCACCTGCATCCTGCATCTCTTAGTAGGTCGTCACTCGATTTAGTGAGGGACCAATGTACATTTCGCTTAATAATACGAAACTGCCAATCGAGAACCTTTCTTCCGTTCCGTTCGTAGCTGTCGGTTCTTCGATCTTTATTGCCAAATAAATTGCCACTTAAGGCAATTTATTTGGCAATAAAGCTCACCGATCCCTTGTTGACTGTTACTCTGGTTCTACTGCGGATATCCTCATTACGAATTTTATCACGCAGATAAACTCCGAGCATATCCATTTATATAGCTTGCTGAACGACCTTGAGCTTCCTCATTTGGATAATTAGTGTTTTTATGGTCTATTGTAGCATATACATATCCAGCAAAAAGTAATCAGAACAGTTTCGTTGTATCCGCATTATCCCAATCTTTTCAACTTGACGAAATTAAGCGATTTGAACATAATAATACCCATATAAACGTAAATGTATATGGATAAGATAAAATTGTTGTACCACTGTACCATTATACAAAAGTAGCAGTCGTACTAAGTTGAATCATGTCGATTTATTGCCTCATGAACCATGTCTCAGATCCACGTCATCACTGTAATATACAATTATTCTATGTTGTATACAATTATTCTATGTCTTCATCATTCTAACAATCTTAACGATTTGCCTCAATCGTTAAGAATGCTAGGCGGATTGACAATTGCAGTAAGTACCAGACATCTGCCACCTACGACCGCTGCCGCCGTCATGGGACTGGGTTTATACTTCTAAATACTTACTTATATATACTTTGTATTATTTTGCTATAAGGAATACAATAAAGAGTAAATAAATAAATAACAAATAGAGTCAGGTTTGCATTCCACCCCATGCCTCGAAAACACGTGAAGCCGTTGGTCCGGTCGTGTCGGCTTACCGTCAGCTCAGATCGGATTATGAGAGTAAGGGAATAGAGAGAGCACTTGTGTTTGCGCACACACTCGTGCACTGTAATCATGTCCTGCGCAGATTGGCCTTCTGTGAAGCTGGCCGGCTGACCGAAAATCAGTCTGCAGTACATTATGAACCAATAGTAGAAATTGATTTTTGCAACATAGCAAGGTGTTTTAATTTTTTTGGTTCACTTTTTTCTCTTTATTTGGTTAACCAACAGTTGCTGAAACTAGCACATACAATTATACACCGATATAACTAATACAGGTACTTTTTTATACTATAAGGGTGACAAACGAGCACGCAGTACATCTGATGGTAAGTGGTTGCTGTGGACCATAGACATTTACATCTTTCCTCGATTACGAATCAAAATGCAGATGCGTTGTCACCCGTGAGGACTAAGATGGAATGCCTCATTCTCAGTAAAAAGAGTCACTGGTTCTCTACACTCACCATACGAAATACAGCAATGTCAAGCTGATATTTTACACTACTGATATTTCAAACTTTAACTTTTAATAAAAATATTATTTTAATAAATTATATAATATAATTTTCATTATCCTATACCTTTAAACGAGCAATTGCTTATATATATATATATATAAAATCGGAATCTCGGAAACGGCTCCAACGATTTTCATAAAATTTAGTGTCCAGGGGGTTTCGGGGGCAATAAATCATCTACTAGATTCATTTTTAGCAAATGTCCTTTTGTCCGTGTTCTCAGGCAATGAAAAACTGCTACAATATAAGAAGGTAAATTTTGACAGCGTATTAACGATCGTAATAGCTCAAGTGGGATATCGGGCGGTCGCGAAATCGGAGTGCCCTGGTTCGCGTCCTGTCTCTGGTCCGACTTTTTTTCCTTTTTCTTCAAGTTCCCTTCTTTTGTGAGAAAATCTATTATTTCGAGCCTTTTTTTAGTATTGTTTTAAAAATACGAAAATTTAAATTAATCTAAATTCAGTATTTTCTATTATGTAAATAAGATCAAAAAATATTATTCATGTTTCATCAGTATGTAGTTTGTATCTGAATATAATTTCCAAAAAAAAAAAATACCGAGGAAAGCTCCAGGTACTTTAAGTAAAATAAATCATAACTTATAAGAATGAACACTATTGCTGTGCCCATAGAATCACTCACCTCATTACAAACAAAATACTTACCCTATTGCCTCATTTCCAGTAAAAAGGTCTCTTCCTCACCATACAGCAGCATTAACACCACGTCGTATTCTATAATCAAAATATAAATTTTTTAAAGAAAACATTATTTTAAAAGAGAATATTAACTTACCTGTACAATTTGGGTATAGCATGAGCCGCAGTCTTCCGCACGTAGGGGCTCATATCGCTTGCGGAGTCGCGTATCGCCAGCATCACTATCGGTACTATCATAGAGACACGGATGGACGACAGTACTCTTAATGCACTGGCCCTGATCAACTGGTTGGGGTCCTGGCATACAAAGGAAGAATAGCTCTGGATGCTTATTTGAAATTATTTATTAACCAAAGCTGATAAATTAAAGTGACCTTAGATATCTTGTCATGTTTTCCTCATAACTTGAAAACAAGAGTGTGTTACAAATGTTAACTGGGTCTGAGCTGTCCTTAAAGCTAGCCATTTGTGGAGGCTCAAGGTCACTCAGCGAGCTACTAAGAGAGTTGTTCACGGAGTTTTTCTATATGATAGAATTTGAGGTGAGAATCAACAGTAGTACCTAAGTAACTGACATAGCCCATGGATCAGTGAGTTAAGTGGTAATAGGCCGGCCATATAGCTCGAAGAACCGACAGCTAATGAGGAAAGGTTCTCAAGTGGTAGCCCCATGAATGCAATTAGTTGAGGGTGACGACCTGGTAAGAGAAGCAGGAAGTCGATGTACGCAAGTCGCTCAGGACTATGGTTTGTGGCATTCTTTGGGAGGAAACCTATCTTCAGCAGAGGACTTGTGATTTACCGCAATCATGATGATGATGATGACTGTACCGGTAAGCGAAGTGTGGAATTCGCTGACGTGACTAGGTGAGTGACGACCTGGTAAGTGGAGGTGGCTTATGAGAAGCCTATATTCATCAGTGGAGTTGTGAATGGCTGTAATGATGATGATGATGATGATGTTCTCACTCTACTAAAATTTAAAGCAAGCAAAGTATTAGAGCTTAACTAACTAGTACTTCTTTGTAGCTTACTTCCTTTACCACATAGCAAATTAAAGAGTTAAGATTCAAGTTTTTACCAACTACAATTCAAAAACTTCATAATTGCTTTGTTACTGGTGGTGTAGGATAATCCCCTACCCATTTAATCCTGTGGGATTTGTAAAAGGAGAGAGAAATAGGAAATGGGCAGCATCTTCCGAATAACATTTGAAAATTATAAAAAAATTGTCAAAATAATCAAAATTTACCTTCAATGCCCTTTGGAATGTACTTATAGAGAGCAAAGCTAAATCTTGTTGTTCCTCTGCATATCTCACCAAGTAAACATAAACAAGTTTCTTTACTTCAATATTTTTCGATACAACATTCTTCACTACTGCTGGAAACCTAAAAAAAATTAATTGAATTAATTCATTAGAAAGACTACAAATGGAAATATTTGGGTTTATTTATTTATCATTCATAATCATTACAATATCATTACAGCCCATTACAAATCTACTTCCAAATATAAGACTCCCCTAAGGAATGTCACAAAGCATGGTCGTGAGTCGCCTGCATCCATCCATCCACTTTCTGCATGTCTTACCAGGTTTTCACTACATCTAGTACGAACCATCTCGACAAAAAAATCACTGTTTAGAACTTTCATATCTACAAGATTAACTCTTTATTTAACAGTTCTAAGTTGGATTTTCATACTTACTGAGAAAAATATTTAGATTTTCAAATATTTGTTAGAATAAATTAATGTAAAATTTGATTTTCAATTAATTACTACTGGTACATAGAAACGTTGTTGATGATGTTAGAGATTTAGAGGATGAAATTAGAATAGTAATAAATACTAGCAGTTAACTAGTGATTGAAATTCAACCGTAATTAAAAAAAATTAGGTTTGTATTTTTTTCTTTCACTTCCAATTACACATTATATAAAACACAGTTGTCTAATCTACAAAATAAAAATATAATGGCTTTTTGTTTAAAACATAGTGACTATAAACTCTGGTACTTACTCTGAGATATTGGCAGTATGAATGTCAACAATCTTCTTAATTTGTCTAAGTTACATATATGTGTTTAACATTGACTTTATGAACATAATAAATGTATGTTCTATATAATGTAATTTTATGCATATATAACACATACAGCCGACTCTCTTTAATTCGTAACTCGAGGGACTCTTAAAATATTACGGATTATCGAGTGTTTGAAATATCAAATGGTTCGAAATACATAATACATACATAAACACTCACGCCTGTCACCCAGAGGGGTAGGCAGAGACTACAGACTTCCATTTGGCACGATCCTGAAACACCTCTCTCGCCTCCTTCACATCCATACACCTCCGCATACATGCTCGTCGGTTAAGGGTACTCCTAATTTGGCCCGTTTTCAATAAATCGCCAATTTGGTAGATAAATTTTCGCCTAGGACGTCCCTAGGTTATATTACGTCCAATGGTTCGAAATATTTGAGAGAAAATAATAAAACTTCAAATTATTAAGTGTTATTATTTATTAACTGCTATTCTTTAACAATGAAAAAACTTTAGAAATAAATTCGTGTACATATTCATAGTGTGAATTTATTTTTTTAAAGAATATTAACAATGCTATAAACATTACTAATATTCCCCTTAACCACTCATGGTAAGCTTAAATTGCTTGTGTTACGAGTGGTTCACGACAGTAGTCGAATGGTGGATCAAACCCATAACCTTTTGAGTTTGCGGTTCGCGCCCTGCCATAGGCTACTGTCGCTATCATTTATCATTATTATATTTATTAAAAAAAATATATATTATATTTATCATTGTGAATTAATTAATCTTTCAAAAGAATTCTGTTATACCGGTTTGCTTCAAAGCACATTGCCGCTGCTCAGACTGCCCTTAACTGACATCTGACACCTCTGCCAAAGGTTTTGATGTATTGTCAAAACAATGATACAAGTTTGAACTTGTCTCAAAATGTACTTACAAATTACAATCTTTCTGTCTCTTCCTCTCTGCAAATTTGAATTGTCGAGTGTTTGACGCCAATGAGTTCGAATTAACAGGTAGTTTTTTGTTACGGAGTAATAATTTTTTCGTTAGGATTAGTAGTAGAGTAAGTACATAAAAATGTATTGATTTAGTTCGAAATATAAAGAGATTTTGTAGGGAACTCTTGACGACTTTGAATTATAGAGAGGTTCAAATTATCGCATGTTTGAATTAACGAGAGTCGACTGTATCTCTATAAATAAAAAAATAAATGTCGGTCATAGGACTGCTCCTCAGAAGTGAAAACTTCTAAGCTTTACAAACTTGCAAACATTAGGTAAAAAATATTTTTTAAGAAGTATTTTTTATTAGAATTTTTTTTATCAATGTAATATTATAGAAATAAAATTTTCATTTAAGGTACTGCTTTACATGAAAAACAATGATTATGTATCTGAGCATGACCGTCACACGAGTTCAGTCCTTTTCCCCATCTCAAAAGTGCACAATGTGCCTAAAGAAGTTTTCACTTTAAAAATCAATTGCTGCCCATTAGTCTCGCTAAAACTAAAAAACGGCTAGACCGACTTTAATGAATTTTTGTATGTATTTGAATAGATCCCTAGATGGTTTAGAATCATATTTAGACCTGGTAGGTGGTGCTGTTGTAAAGATCCAGAAATCACCCATGCAAAGCTGGGGCGGATTGCTAGTTTTAAATACATTTTAGCTTTCTCAATTCATTATCTATACAAACTTTAACTATGCCAAATCTTCTTACATTCCTCAGTATATGCAATGCAATATGTTTAAAAAGGGTTACAAAATTTCCTTTGAAATATAAATATAGGCCTATGTTCAGCAGTGGACATATGAAGTACTGTAATAATGATGAATGATGATATAAATATATGAATTAAATTATTTCGATAATTGATTATGAAGATAAATTATTTATAACCTTGATTTTGTATATGTGTGTGTGTGTGTGTGTAACCTAGTGTTTCTCACTTTGCCTTATGATATGTATGGTCAATTTATTATAATTATATTGTATTATATAAATCAAAGGTAAATGGGGAGTTCCATGTTCAGTAATGATTTCATACAGTCTAATGATTAATGAAAACACTTAATATATTTTTAATCAATTAAAACCCCCAGATCATTATAACTCTACAGACACACTGATCACTAGGTTGAACAGTTACCATGATGTTTTCTTTTGAATTATGATTATTAAACAATTTATTATGTACAGTATTGTGTGTAAATGTTTTGACATAATAAAATTACTTACAAATCAGAAGCATCTCTTCCTTTAGCAATGATCCCAATTATTCTTTTCATGGCCTCTAATTTCAGTGAATCCTTGGATCCATCAAGCATGATCTTTAGGTCTTCATTTCTACAATATAAATGAATAATTTTGATTTTTACGATTGAGACTAGGTGACATGAGAAGAACGCTTAAAAATAAAAAGTAAAAATAAACGCGAAAAATCCGTAAAAGACAATGTTCAAATAAAGAAATCAATTTTAGTTCGATTGAGACCATGACATAAAAAGAAAATAAAAATAAAGAAACGCAGTATTTGTGACATAGGAACACACAAAATAGAATACTATAGTATTAAAATGAATAGAATCCAGACTTGCCAACTGAACCTGGTTTTTGCAGACATTAGCTACTATCCAAATATGATTAAAAAAAATCGGACCTAGTTTAAGCTTATTCCATAAAGTACTGCAGTAAACAAAAATGACGATTATTGATTAAAATGTTATACTATTGTTATTTGTTTAATTTTAAACTAATCATTAAAAAGGAACACCGTTTACTTCTTATAATCAGGTTGGAAAAACGCCCCAGAAGCAGGATCGCTGGCTGGATATTCCACCTCGCCGGCAACAACTTTGTCGTTATTATAAGAAGATATTGTAGTCATTTCAAAATTTTACTTAAAACACCAAAAATTATTTGGAGAAACTTAGTTTTTAATAAATCTAGGACTAAAATTAATTTGTTGAATGTTGACTTGTACAAATAAACAACTAATGTCAAAATGACAATGACAATTTGACAAATGACAGCAAGGGTATGTTCAGAAAAAGAACCCAGTACACTGGCCAATGCAAATGACGTCATAAATTGACGAAAACGACGAAAATTTTGAAAGCAATAAAATAATTACCTATTGTAAAAAGAATTATGGTGAAAGTCTGTGCGATAAAAAAAATATAAAAGTTCTTTAAAATTTAGACTTAAGCTACAGCGGCGCCACCCTTATTTAGCGCTTTCCTGCGGACACTTTTTTATACAGAGCATGAAGGTTAGAAGAACAGGAGAAGATCACCGTACAAAAAAGGTCTCCAGAAATATGGACACCATAAGTGAGGCGCTGCGATCGCTCGAGGTTCGGTCAATAAAAGTCATTTTGAGTCTATTTTTCCGATCAGATGCTAAACTACTTGCACATCCACGCACAATAAAATATTTCTCCATTTTTTAATGTTTCTTTTTGTCAAAAATTACAAAATTCGGAGCATGAAAATTTTCTCTTTAAAAATGAAATGAAAATTTGTACATTATTCAACTAACTTCATCTAGTTGTACTCATAAACAGCTAAATTCGCAGTTACTACTCACCGACGGCGGTGCCGCTATACATTCTACAATTTTCAAGGACAGGCGGGCTATGCTTTAATACGTAGTGACCGTTCTCCTGCTCTCTAACCTTAATGATAGAGTCTGTACTCCTTACCTCTACACTCCATTAATAACGTCATTTGCATTCGCCAGTATACTGGAAACATTTCGGAACATACCCCAAGAGGCAGCTAATATTTTTTTATTAAGGTTTTTGCTTGGATGCTTGTTTTTTAAGACATATATTTATTTCATTCAGGATCTTCGTTTTTAAACATTTTTCTATTGTGAATTCAATGTATTTGTATAATATACATACCATATATAGACCAAATAGTCAGAAAATATTTCATATTCTTCAAATAATGCAGTCAAGTGGCGGGTTTTTTTTGGGATGGGTTCACTTTCACTGTCACGGGCATACATATGCAAAATGGCGGCACACTTTTTTTATAAAAGAGGGGGCAAACGAGCATACGTTTCACCTGATGTAAAGTGACTACCGCCATCCGCGAATAACTGCAACGCCAGGGGAATTTAAGGTGCGTTGCGGGCCGTTTAGAAAGGAGTAAGCTCTTTTCTTGAAGGTCCCTTGTGATTGGCCACTCGCATGTGACCAATGAACGCATTGATGATCCGTTCGCGCTTAATTTAAATACAATTTTGAAAGAAGGTTTAACATTCCCACCTGCCCAAGTCTCCCGGGCTTTTTCCTTTTTGAACCGTTGAACCTCTGATTCCCTGTAATCTACGAAAAATGGAATAATAATAATGGAATAATTATGAAATTCATTATTTGGTTAGTTTGGTTTAATTCCTTTGAAACTTTTAATATTACTTCAAATAGTAAAAATTAAAGTGGATCCGTTATTGCTGTCACACAAAGTTCTCCAACAATTCTTTTTTCCCTGAGCAATAGTTAGTGTCTCAATTCCGTCTGTTTTTTATGCAATGTAATTTTCTATGGTTGGAAAACGCCTGTAAAACTTTAAAGCCTCTTGAGACCGAATAACACATTTTCTTTACACTTGCCATTCCACAAAAGGGCGGGTAGTCTGCTTTGTAAACTTAGGAATACATTGTGTTTTCGGTGTAAAAGGTATTTCACAAAAACTGTCTTGAGAGCTAAGCGGATCATCTGGGTTCGGAGTTAAAATATCAAAACAGGTCTTTGAAAGATCACAATACTTATCCCAATCAGCTTTTTTGTATAAGAAAATAGATTCTATAAAAAGGACGAATAATATTATACCGGTCTGCGGTGAGAGTAAATTCTGTGATAGTAGGACAATGATGACTTCCCATGTTATCATAAACTGTCACAGCACAATTCCCATATTATCAGAACAGTTGCGGCAGCTTTGCTGTTGCACGTATGGGCCGGCTCAAACCGGGGTGGTACCACGACCTCACAGAATACCGGCGTGAAGTAGTAGCTCAGCTTCCGCGTTTCGTCTGGTGAGTATAGGTGACTGGAAGCCCAATTCCCCTCCTGCCACGCTATCCGTGAATTTCTACACTATCAGGGGACTTCATTCTAACCTAAACGCCGTCCACTACCATCTCGAGACGGCAAGGCCAACTCTGCTCTTTCTGACCGAGACGCAGGAGTTCTCTCCGGCTGATGCTTCGTATATCTCCTACCCGGGGTACAAACTGGAACACACCTTTGTGCCTCGGGCTGAAGTTTGCGTATACATCAGATAGGACATCTGTTATCGACGCCTCGGCAGTCTTGAAGTCTTGGACCTGTTCATCCTTTGGCTACGTGTAGACAGCGACGACTATCCCGCGCCTCTACGGGTGCCTCTATAGGTCCCTTAGCGGTAATGCCGAAATAGACCGCCTCTCACTCTTCGACCACGTCCAAATGGCTACAGATTCTTTGCTATAGCAGATCCCTCCGCAGAAATCGTAATCCTAGGCGACTTTAACGCCCATCACGCCGAATGGCTTGGTTCACGTTTAACCGATCATGCGGGGAGATCTGTTCAGGATTTTGCCTTGGCATATGGTCTGACACAACTGGTTACTTCGCCTACGCAGATTCCAGATGTGGAGGATTATACACCTTCTCTGTTGGACCTTCTGCTGACCTCCCATCCGGACGGATATCAGATTTACGTCGACGCCCCTTTAGGCTCCTCGGACCATTGTCTTGTCCGGAGTGTGGTGCCACTCACACTGAAATCGCGGTTGCATTCTGCAGGCGGCCGCCGTGTTGGGCACTATAGGTCAGCCGATTGGGATAGGATGTGATCTTTCTTTGCATTCTACCCTAGGAGGTGGGTTTGCTTCTCATCAGACGATCCCAACGTTGTTACTGATTCTGTCACTGAAGTGGTACGTCAGGGTATGGTACTTTCTATTCCTTCCTCTGTATTGCCCATCGGAGGCAAATCTCATCCATGGTTTGGTCGCTCCTGTAAAATAGCATCATGCTATAAGCAGCAGTGCTACCAAGCCTGGGCTGACGCATCAACGTCCCGGGATGTAAATACCAGCGCTCTAAAAAAGAAGTAAAATTTCGCCTCCCGGTCTTTCAAAAGAGTCATTGCCAGGGCAAAGTCAGAGCACATAGGCAGAATTGGCGAGAAACTAGTTCGCCTTCCTGCTGGAACCCGTGCATTCTGGTCTCTAGGCTGTCCAGGGGAATTTCTGTCAGCCATCTCTTCCATCTCTGTACAGAGAGGACGACTCACTGGCTCATGCCGCAAAGGAGAAAGCCGATCTGCTAGGCTCTTTCTTTGCGTCCAACTCGACTCTCGATGACGGGGGGAGTACGCCGCCGACCATCCCGCGGTGTGAGTGCTCCATGCCGGAGGTGCAGTTTACACAGCACTCGGTTCGCAAAGCACTCCTCTCCTTTGACATCCACAAGTCGAGTGGGCCTGACGGTATCCCCCCAATTGTGCTGAGGACGTTTGCTCCAGATTTAGCACCGGTCTTAACGCGTCTTTTCCGGTACTCCTAGTCCCTAGGCGTAGTCCCAAAATCATGGAAGACAGCTTTCGTCCACAGCGATATTTATAAGTTGAATTTTAAGTTCGTATAAAAAAAGTAATTTTTCAATCGTTTTATAGACTGAGTTTTATTTATAGCTTTCTGTACAAAAGAAGTAAAACGACTTTGATCAACATTAGTTTTATTTACAAGAGCTGAAAAATCGTTTGAAGAGTCACAGTAGCGATTACTTCCTGATAATTAACCTGTGAAATGTGCAATTATCAGGACTATTTCCCTTATTACACGGATTACAGTAAGGCATTTGACTGGTTTTACCATAGACGCCTCCTATACAATCTTGAATGTGTTGGCATAAGCGGAGATTTACTTAGCTGGTTTTCTTTGTATATTTAGAACAGAACACAAGCTTTAGTGGTAAATAATTACATTTCTAGCTGGGTTAAGGTCCCTAGCTCTGTTACCTCAGGGCTCTTTGCTAGCACCTTGACTCTTTGTTATCTTTGTTAATTATATCAACAATTATCTGTGTAACTCTCGTCTATTGTGTTTGGCAGATGACATAAAAATCTTTGCAATTATTTCTTGAATAGTTTTTTTAATGGGAGAGGGGGCAAACGAGCATACGGCTCACCTGATGGTAACATGAACAACTGCAACACCAGAGGGATTGCAGATGCGTTGTCGGCCTTTTAAAAAAGATTAGGCTCTTTGCTTGAAGGTCCCTAAGTCGTATCGGTTCGGAAAAATCTCTGGTGCTAGTTGATTCCACAAGGAAGTTGTGCGAGGAAGAAAATTTCTTTTAAAATAAATGACGCTGAAGCACTACTAAATGACTTAAGAAATTTACTTGATTATTGTACTATAAACTTCTCGATCTCAATCCTACAAAATGCTCAGTTATCAAGTATCACCATTTAGCAGTAAATCAAATAAATTATAGTACGATTACGAAATTGGAGGCTAATCGTTGTCCAGAGAGTGTTCCGTAAGCAACTTGGGAGTTATACATGACTCGAAACTTCTGTTCGACAAACATAATGATTTCTTATATTTTGCGAACACTACACATTTAAATAATACTAGTATTTACGGATTTTATCGCGTATATTATTTTCTTTTATTCCCGACGTTTCGAGCACTTCACAGCACACATGGTCGCCAGGAGGGGGGGGGCTGAGATCTTCAACATCCAGATGTCGTAGTTAACTTTTTTACTAACTGGCTTTATGGCTCTGGGTTCTAGCCCTTTTGATTTTATATTCTTTTTCTTCACATTATGCTGATGAGTCACATTGCGAAGCCCTTGGGAGATTTCGACGACAGCTCAACCTA